GAAGAGGATGTTATCCTGGACGTTATTTCCAAATACATAGTAACCAACAAGAGCAACAGGGAAGTAGCACATGGCCACAACTATGTAGGCTACAACTACTCCCCTCCACATTGACCCCTTGGATGGTTTCTCTGGCGTAGATGGAATGGTTGCCTGAATCTCCAACACCACGTTATGACCGGCATAGGCAAAAGCTACATCACCTAAGGCAGTGAAGAAGTTGAAGACTGTATCTGAAGTTTTCGTGGTTGCATAGCCATAGTCCACGTCTGCCTGAACCCCCTTATGAGCTGATGCGGCCCAGGCAATGGTGGAGTAGCTGTATAACCAAAAAGCATGTCAAACAAAAGTTACAAAATACATTTTCCAAGCAAATCCAAGAACTTTACATGTTGGTCTGTGTGCCCTGTGATTTCCTTTGGTCCTACAAGACATCCATTTTTATGTACTTGCCTTTCTCTTTCTGGATCTTTTTTTTTTTTTATATGTACCATGGTCAACGTGTCTCATCTATACTTAAAGTGCTAGGAATAGTTTCAATATCCCCCTGCATCATGGGATGTTTATTAAGGCTGGGCATTATACCATAAATGCCACAATTATCATTGTATCGTTTCATTACCATTACCAGCGAAAATGGTATGGTAAATTACCATATGGTAAGTCTAAATGGTAATATGACAATATCATTTAGACTTGTGGTATGGTATTGGTATTGGAGGTTATTACCATTTTTATCATATGGTTATCAAATTTACCACTCATTCAAAACATTTTCCTCTTTTTTTTTTTATTCTACAAAGTTTTCAATTGTTGCTAGTTCTCTTTTCTTTTTTTTCTTTTTTTTTTTGATGTGTGCATGTTTTGTATAATTATATATTTGTATGCTTCAAGATGATAAAGAACAGTATGAAGAAAATATGTTTTTAAGATAATTTTGAGCTTTTAAGATTGAATTTTGAATGACTTGAATTAATTGATAATAAAGAAAATAGGTTTAAATATGGTAATATGGTATGGTATTGGTAAAACAAGTTTTATTACCATTAAAAACGGTTGGCAACCATTACCAAAAAATCATCAATTGGTATGGAAGTAGTAATTCTTTTTCATTACCATTTAAAACGGTTACCATCATTTAAGTGCGGTATGGTTACCATACCGTACCATGCCCAGCCCTAATGTTTATCACCTTGAATTTGAGTAAAGGTGCAAATAAGGATTTCAACTTTGTATTTTTTTCTATTTAAAAATGTTAACTTTGTTAGTTTCTAAATAAGGATGTCAACTTTTAATTTTTTTCTAAATAAGGATGTTAACTTTGTCAATTTTTAAATAAGGATATCAACTTTTAACCTTTTCTATTTAAGGATGTCAACTTTTAACTTTTTCTATTTAAGGATTAATTGAATAGTGATGCTGACGTGGCTAACATATTTTTAGGTTAAATACCTGAATTGGTCCCTCAACTTTTATTTTTGAACCAATTCATGCTTGAATTTCATAAAGTACCAAAAACATCCTTCAACTTCAATTTTCAATTAATAAAATTATTTCCTAATTCATGGAAAATTAATTAAATTTTATTTAATTTTATTAAATGGTAGGTGGGACTAATTAAATGGGAAAATATATTATTTGTTTTAATTTTTAAATATAAATAAAGTAAAATTAAGAATTAAAGTAGTTTGTAAATTATATAAAAGTAAAAAAATCCACATAATCATCTTTTACATGATGGATTTTCCACCTAATATTGAAAATGTATAATAGTCAATTACTTAGCGAAAAAATTAGCTATATCAACATTTAACTGACGGAAAGACGAAATTGAAAATTGAAGTTGAAGGATGTTTTTGGTACTTTCTGAAGTTCAAGGATGAATTGGTTCAAAAATAAAAGTTGAGGGACTAATTCAGATATTTAACCTAAAAAAATATGTTAGCCACGTCAACATTACTATTCGATTCATCCTTAAATAGAAAAAGTTGAAAGTTGACATTTTTAAATAGAAAATATTGAAAGTTGACATTCTTATTTAGAAATTGACAAACTTAACATCCTTATTTAGAAAAAGTTGAAAGTTGACATCCTTATTTAAAAAAAATTAAAAGTTAACATCCTTATTTAAAAACTGACAAAATTAACATCCTTATTTGCACCTTTTACTCCCTTGAATTTTTGTCTTTAGAATTGTTATTTCTGCCTATTAACAGATCCAAAAAAGTGGAGAAACACAATGGGGTGAACGGTATACCTCAAAGACATGACTGCTGCAGCCAAAGAGACACCAGAGATGGAGTTGAAGTTGGGAAGGTGAGAGAGCACAAAATGAACAG